AAAAGAACGGAAGGGGAGAAACGTCCTATATATATAAACACGAAATACAGGAAAACGATCGATTTATCTTTAACCTATAAAATAACGTCTACTCACCCCCTCCTCCAGCCGTGGCCCTCCCCCCCCCTACAGCTCGACGCGACTCGAATGGATCCAAAAACCACGACGAAGAATCGGCCTGACTGCTAGCCGCTATTCCATGACTGTCACCTTTGCCATTTCTGGCATTGTCACTTACCATTACTGCACTATCACTGTGAGCATCACTGTTGCCATCACCGTTTCTGTCGTTGTTGTTATAAATGTCCTCGTTTCTGTCACCATTATTGCCTTACTGTGTATTTTACTGTTATATTACCCTCACTGCCATTATAGTTATGATTAAATAAATAAAAGTAATGATAATAATTACATAAAGAAAAGTAATAATAATAATAATTGAATAAATAATAATATTTGAAATGTTGACATAAAAATATTTTTTCTCCGCATCCGAATGCTTGCGTCTGACTTCCCTTTTCCCCAATTTTGCCTCCGATCTCACCAGTCTCTTGACACACTCGACACCCGACGCTAGGCACTTGACACTTAGCTGACACTTCTGGTGCCACAGATGTTCACCCTCTGAGAATAAGCGCGGTGTTCCGACAGAATAAATCCTCGCCTAAGTCGTGGTCGCCGCGGCGTCCGAACGCGGCTTTTGATCATAGCTAACTTTAACATATAATAACTAACTTATACTAGTATGCAATAAATTTTCACTTATAATAAATGAGGACTATTTGATAACCGACGTTTCCTGTTATAATGATCAAATTTCACAGTTTGAAGTTATCTTTCAGTCTTATGATAATTAGCTTTATATGACACAAATACACGATTTTATTGTTTTCTTCTGATAATGATAATCAACTTCAATATATAATAATTTATCTATACTATTTTAACAAGTTTTAATTATATGCAATTAAATTTCACTTAAGAGGAGGAACACAATTTTATTAATTTCTTCACTATAATTAATTCTACTATATAGTTAAAATTATATCATTAAATCATGTAATTATATAATATACAATTATAATTATATTACTATAATCAATTCTACTATATAGTTATAATACTATAATTAATTCTACTATATAGTTAAAATTATATAATTAAATCATATAATTATATAATATACAATTATAATTATAATACTATAATTAATTCTACTATATAGTTATAATACTATAATTAATTCTTCACTTATAGTAATTAACTTTCATCAATAAGAATAATATTTTACGCTCCGTGTTACTAGTGTGTCACTCTCCGTGTCACTACTTTCGCGGAAGGGGAATGGGAAAAGTCGGATCAGAAAAGCAGAACTGGACAAATGACGGAAGACGAAGATGACAAAGTGAGAATCGTGTTGAACCACATAGAAGGAGCCGCAGCTGGGAGATCGTTCAACTGTGGACGCGAATGGACGAATGTAAATGATGTTTTCGGTGAACTGATGAAGGTATGTGGTCAGAGTGTATCCGTGCGGGAGCTGCATGAACGCATGGCTGCTAGGAAACAGCAGAGCGAAGAGACCGGATGGGAGTTTATGGACGCGTTACGAGAGATGACAATTAAGGAAAAAAAAGTATAAGATAATTCCAAACGGATTTTACTGAAATGTATTTTTATAAACTAGATTTCCATTTTGCAAAGCAGTAGCGAGATATTTGAGCTTAAATCCACCGGACAAATTAGAATGTAGATGTTCTCAAATGCTGTTTGGGCATAGCTGAAAAAGCATAAGAGGGAACCTGCTTCAGACAATCATTCATTCTGTATCTGGGCTTGACAAGCCGATGGGCCTCTAAAGCAAGGGAGTCGCAGCTCCGATCCGACGTCGACGGAATCACCGCGTCTTTGATCGGATTAGACTTAGATTTTCCATGTCGGGTCAGATCGGAGGCATGTCTGTGGTCGGAATTCACTTCGTCAAACAAAATCCGAGGGTAATTTCAAAACAAGACCATCATTTTTATTTTTATGTCATTAATGCATAAAATATGTAAATACGTTGTATAATTGATACTTCAAATTTAGGTTTATTTGGAAGAATTATAGATGTATAATCCTGCCATTTAAAAAATTAATGAGTTTACAATAGTACGTTCCTATCTTTTGCACCCCCTGTAAAATGCTGGATATATGGTTTTTCTGAATAATTGTGTCACTTTGACCATTATGTAAGACAATCTGTTGAATTGTTGGAAAATCGTCTTTACAGGTAATCCAAGTATCTTCTTCAACTTACAGAACTGATGTTCCAGTTATGTAAGCACAGGTGTCGTCGCTGACCGTGGGAGCAAACCAACCACTAGAGGCAGATTCCGGATGTCGCAGGTGTCTGAACTGCCATATACAATTTATTCATTTTTCTTTTGGAAGGAGTTCATACAAAGCTGTTCTGTCTTAAGCGCTAATACTCAAATAAATAATCAAACTGATCAAGCATAACAAATGAACGATTTGCTGCCCACTTTGGCTCATTGGATATGTCCATACATCGGCCGATAGAAACGGAGAATCTTCCTTCTCGTCAAAGTGCGCCATCGAGAGCAGCATCACTCCCGCAGCACTGACATCTGCTGGTTTTCTGCTGCTTCTCTGGCCGTCTCCACTTGCTCGAGCATGTCGCGTATCCCCTTCTTCGCACGACTTCCCAACTCGCCATACAGCGTAAGATGCGTGCACCTTTCCCGGAACACGCGTGACTAAGGCGACTTTGGATTGGAATAACCTGCCAGGCACTCAAAATGGCGGTACACCCACCTTGAAACGAAGAGGTATGGCCACTGTTCTTAAACCTGCAATATTGGTGGATATATTAGCATATATGTTGCTACGTTGCAGGTAAAGTTGCATCCATTAAACCTTCTACGTCAGAAATGTTTGTTGGTGTCAGTCCTTCAGTAGAATAGAAATGTAGCAGCTGTCTTCTTTTTTCCTCCAGAGTGTCATCAGCTTCCCCCTCTGGTAGGCTCTCTGGTTGCCAATTTATGCAACCATAGCGATTAACTAGGCGACCAGACTGTCTGACACTCTCCTGTCTCTCCTATTCACAGTAGTTCTTGCCTGTCTTGGACTATGTTGACGTAGACGATTGGGATTTTGTTGGTGTTTTATCGTTTCGGTGACTATTATTCTAAACATTAATCTTCTATGAGCCGCAGCAGGCCGTTTGCCATCCCTAATCGCTCGGCACAGTTCTTTTGGCATATCTGCCCAGGGGACCTGGAAGTTTTCCGGCCAGTTTACATCGGATTTCCTGGATGGTGACTTAACTTGCACAGTGGTTGAGGTTTCCATTGGGGAGGCTTGTTGAGGTGTCCGAACTTGATCAGAATCTTGTAGGCCTATGCGGAGGGTCCAGGTGATGAGGGAGGGGCTGGTCTGGCTTGGGTCGGTTCGGCAGATAGGTTATCTGAAACACAAAAACCATTTAAATATCATTTCCAGTATATATTATGCTCTAGGATTGTCAAACATCCTTGGAAACTGCAAACACAATGACAAAGATTACAGATATCTGGAAGAAATCACTTCATATTGGCGTGGTTATTAATGCTCTGTAGTAGGTTCCTGAATTCTGATCTGAAAGAAAATATAGATTGCAGATTCAATTAATTTATCTATATCCTTTAAAAATTGAATGGCATAAAAGTAGTTGTAAAAAAAGAAATAGAGTTGTAAAAATTGATGCAGAACAAGTGCGAAAATGAGAAAAGTCAAATTCTGAGATTTGGTTGCCAAGTGACAAGTCATGAAATAGTAAAACAATTTCCTTGCTTGTCAACTTTCTCAAATTCACAGATTATAATCAAAGCTGAAACATTTTAATACGATGACAACTTAGGAAGTTAAAAGGTAACGTCCTTCCCCAAAATGCCTTCACAGAGAGCACCAGCAATCATCTAACTTTGAACATCGTCCCGGGGGGCATGCTCTGGACCCCCTGGCAACGTGGCTTTGAAAGGCGGATTCTTTTAAAATCACATTATCAGTGATTTTGAGGTGTTTAAATTGTCCAAATCAGCGTTTATATAGGAATAGCAGGGTATTTTATTAGTCTATAGGTCATATCGGCAAGCATTTACTATCAGAGTATAATACATGTATCATGAATTCATAAGATTTCTTTGACACAAATAAATGACGTCAGATAGCGTCCCTCGCCCTAGGCCAGAGTGTAAACGCCATAGATCTAGCCAAGCGAGTCCACACTGTACAGGCAATGGGTAGATTTTATGTCCTAGAGAGAAGACACAGATTGTGTCAAAATATAAACAATCTGTTTTTCAACTTTGTCTGTACAACTTGGGAAAGCTCAATGCTAAAATATAGATTTACTATAAACAAATAGCCAAAGAAATCAGAGGAGATAAGTGTCTCTGAGTCGTATTCCTTTTGACCAAATGAACAAAGCACATTGACCAGGGATGTGGCTGTCCGAAGGAAAAAAGCCGGAAAATTTCAATCGCCAGCGCAGCATTGCCCCGGGGTCTGGGGCAGGCTCCCCAGGGAAATTTTTAAAATTAGATGTGCTATGGTGAACTATGAAGATGGATTTCACATTTGAACTTCAATATTTTCAATTGTGCAAAGTCATTTTTAACCTACAATGTCTGGTGGGGGGTTTAGGGGGTTTCCCCCATAACAGAATTAATTTTCAGGTAGATGCATTCTAAGCCACTAACACGTGATATTTCCAGTATTTATTTTGTGTTTTCAAGACCGATTTTATTTCCAGGGTAAGTCCCACCAGCCGCCCTAAAAATGATCTATTGAGACTTAAGACGATTCACAAGATGTTTTGCTCCAAAAAGCCGTAAATCCGGAAAAATCACATCGCTGATATTTAACTTGGTGTATAATACAATGTTTAAAATTCTGATGAACTTTGGTTGCTGTCTAAAAGATCCATTTTAGACTTAATTGCTAGAACTTGCAAGGCAACTACCAAAATACGCAATTCGTCATTGGCTGTCACTTGACAGAGAATAAATTTTTGTTTGATGTTCTATATATATAGCCATATATTTCCCTCATGTTTCGCTTTCAAATTTAGCGACAGCAACAAGTGAATAACATGATAGCTAAATCGTGTTACTCAGCTTTATAGCTCCAAGCTGGTGTACAAAAATATGATTAATCACACATGACAAGATAAAGAAGATTAAAACTAAAAGTTTTGTT